AAGTGATCCCAATATTTTGCTTGTTTTTTGACATTTCGCTTTCCCCTCGCATGTGGGATGTTTAATTCGACATCTTCATCCTCATGTTCCACTTCAGGAACGTTAATATCATCCAAATCAATTGGATTGTGACCGTGAATATGAACATCTTCAGGTATCGGTAGGTCATTTAGACCGATAAATTCATTTGGAAATTGACTTTACGACGTCCTAGGCGATTCACCATGATATGACCCACATCCTGTATCGAATAAGCTCTTAACAAATGAGCATTGATTAATTTCTTTGATTGTTTATGATAAAATCTTAACTAAAAGAATATAAATGTAGTGAGATTGTGAGAATTGAGAATTGAATGAATTGAAATTGTAACTAATAAACTATAAAAATTGAATTGATATTATATATTTTGCAACACAAGAGAGTAAAAACTCGATAATTGATATAATTAAAGAGAGTTGAGAGAGTTGGGGACTTGGAGTAGCAATTGATGTGAAAAAAATAAAGGGGTGAAGGGGTATTTATAGAAAAGGGGGGAAAATTAAAAAAATAATAATAATTTCAGTGACCGTTTGGTCACTGAAAAAGTGATCAAAACGGTCACTCTTTATAATTGGGGCTCGTGGCTCGTTCAAACGAGCCTCTCGGCTCGTGCTCGGGCTCGTGATTTTACGAGCTCGAGCCGCCCATGAGCCCCATTTTCACTCTTTTGACATCCCTAGGTTGGATGCTTGTGACAATTAATTGATTAATTTGTAATATATTACCTAAAAGTTTTGACCGAGAGTCACAATTGATTAATTTGTGATCGAAAAATTAATTGTGACCAATTAATCTAATTACTTGCACTAAATCAATGAGTTGTGACCAATAAAAGTTTTGATTCATGATCGATGAATAATCTGTGATCAATAATTTGTGACTGTATAATAAGTCATAACTTATAATATTTGTGATTTATGACCAATAAATAAATCGTGGCTTATAAATTTTTTAATTTGTGATCGATGAATAAACTTTGACTTACAAAATTTATGAATGGTGATCATAAAATAATTTTTGATATGAAATTTCTGATTTGTGATAAAAAAAATAAAAATAAAAAATAAGTGTCTAACTAAAACGTTAATTTGTGACCAAATTGCATAGATCTGTGACCTAAATATATTTAATTAATAAAATAATTAATAAATTAAATCATAAATAAATTAAAATAAAAATTTGATTTTTAAAGTTTGAAACTTGTTTTTTTAATTTTAAAATGTATGATAAACTCTTATTTATAAATTTTTACTTTATTGAATTTTTGCCCTCCTCTTGCTGGGCCACCTCTATATCATAGCACAAACCCACTAGCTTCCCCAACTATTCTTTCATCTTTTTCTATCTGCAACCCGGCCTCCAAATCTCCTACCATTTCATGTGATGAAAGAGATGATGAAATTGTCGATGACCTTATTCTTTCATAGTGTTCCCTTACTTCATCCCTATTCGATCCTTGGAATTGTTTAGGGCCGATGTTAGAGTCTTAGCGTTCTGCTCGTAATCTTTCTCGAATCCATCTGATTTCAATGTTGAAAAACTCTTAATGATAATAACTTCCTGGGGTGAACAAAATCTGACAAATCCAGTGTCAGATTCAGGAAAAAATTCAACACGGGCTAATACGTATAAAAACAAATTTACTTAAATTTTTTTTAATGGACATTTGGGCCGAAGGAGACGGGCTGTAGCACGCACAGATGTTCAAAACAATCTATTGCGGCTTCTATCTTCCCGACTTCCAACAATCCATTTCTGGAAAAAATCATATCCGCCTCCAATGCCCACCAATCTGTATTTTCTCCATGGAATATTTGATATTTTTAGCAGGCCTTGTGAATCGAGCCCCAGATCATCTTGTCCTCTTCCTTCTCGTTGCATTATCTTCTCCTCAAACTAATTGAGTAGCGAGTCCCATCTCTCCTCGAATTCTTTGTTGAACTTTGTTTCCATTTGTCCTATAATCAAGTGCTCTTATACCATTTGATAGAATACCAGATGCAGCTCTGATCTGCTTCTCTGCTGTACTGCTGCTGAGTTGTTGGAATTGTTCTCCATTGCAGTGGAATTACTGTTGTTGATGTTGCTACTGGAGGACCTCTCTCTCTCTCTCTCTCTCTTTTTTTTTTTTTTTTTTTTAACGAGGTGTCCCAGCTTGCGCCAGACTATATCCTCGTCCCTGAACCTCCGGCCCCTCAGCTGCTCAGGGAGGTAAATCGCAGGATGTGCCCTTGTTGATTCCCAGGTTCCTACATGGCTTTTACTCCTTCCCCAAAGGGAGCCTCCTCCATGGTGATTAATCCACCAATAATTCCTCCTTTATTGGATCAAAGGTTCCCACCAGGAATTGAACTCCCCACGCTTGGTTTCAGAGCCCCCCAATGTGATTGTTCCGCCAACTTGGATGTGCCCTGGGGGGCATATCTCAATACTGGAGGGCTTCTCTTCTGCTACAACTGCTGGAGTAAGAAGTTTGAGAGTTTATTGAGAATGCTACGAAACTCAATTTAGGAGTGTAGATCTGCATTTGATAAAATGAATTAGAAATCAGAAATTTTAACAGGATTTCTTTTGATAGAATAATAGAAATTGAATGACAATTCCAAGGCTTTTGAGAGGCTCTCAGCAAACTACCCAATATTTACATCCCCAAATCAAGCATTGCCTCCCTATTTTAGTAACAGCCTATAACTTATTGTATTAATCCCCACAATACCTATTCAATAGACAATTACTTATTTGGGATTCTATCACCCCGTCCTAGGGCTGTAAGCAAAAACCGCAAAATCGAATCGAAATCGTATTTTAGAAACCGTCGGTTTGGTACCACGTGGACCCAGTCAACGAAATGATTTTGACTCAAACCAAACCGGTCAAAATGGTTTTGTTTAGGTTTGAGAATTTAAATTGTGGTTTAAAATCAAATCGGATGGGCGAAAAAATATATAAAAATGAAAAAATGAAAAAATGAATTTTTTTTGAAAATTCATTCAAATATGTAAAATTTAATAGTTTTATCATTTGTGAGTATTTTTGTCAATTCTAATTTTCTATTATTATTATTATTATTATTATTATTATTATTATTATTATTATTATTATTATCCAATAATCCTAATATATATTTAATAATTTCAAGACTAACATAATCTATCAAAAGCCTTTTTTCTCTTCAAAATTTAGATGAACTTCAGTCGATACCCAACACAGTTTTAAGCCACCGGTACTACACACTTATTTTTCAAAACTTTCACATCTCTTCAAAGTTGAATTGAAGTCCATTATACCAAATCGGAAACAAAGAGATCCTAAACCTTCGGTGATAATATTTGCTATAAATAAAGTTTCAGATCAATAATTTTTTGGAGCAAACTAAGGTAAGAATCTGAAATTAAATGTGTTTTGTAATATCATACAAATGTAAATTTGTGTAATTGTTATGTTTAGATATTATAAACAATTGCTTTATTATTGTGGTTGGTTATTCTCTTTGTTTAATCAGTATTCTTTTTTTAGATATGATGATCACGAGGCCTTGTTGGACATAATTATGTTTTTAGAACCTTATATCTAGTTTAGTAGACTTGTATTGTAACGTTATTGTATCGTCATTAGCCTAAAAAAGGTGAACAAAAATGGAAAAAAACTATGTTTTAGTTTATTGTGATTTCACTTTGATTTAGTTGATATTTAAATTTATAGTAAATATATTTCGCCCCTGTTTGAGCCATATTTTTCATATCATCATAATGAGAAAATTTACTATTGAAGAGGAGGCTGAGTCCCACACATGAAATAGCAGGTAACAAAGGCGGCTGGACTTGTGGAATAACGGTCCAAATTTTCATTTTTTTGTCCCAAAAATTTGGTTCAAATAGGGGTTTAGTTTGTTTTAGATTTATTACAAGTGAGATATAAATATATATTAAATTCAATGAATTAATAACATAAAAGTAGACGGGCAAAAAAATATATGGCAAAACCGACGGTTTAAAACCGAACCAAACCGTTAGGTTTAGGTTTGAGTTTTTTTTCAAACCCTTCAAAATGGTTTGGTTTAGGTTTGGATTTTTCTCAAACCGTTTTAAACGATTTGGTTTGAAAATTTGTCAAAAATCGATAAAACCGAACCGCTTACACCCCTACCCCGTCCCCGTAATTGGGTTGATTGTCATCCAGTTTTTTATTGTCAATTGTTGATTACGATATGCTTAAAAAAATAAATAAAATACAAGCATGCCAATTGATCATAATCCAAATGCTTCTTTTACGTTATGCCTTTGTAAAATGTCATCCGTCTTCCTCTTCTTTTCCCATGTTCGTCAAAATCTCACAGGTTTATTCCATTCGTCGTCACAGTACTTTGATCCATCATCAATTGGATCACTGTATAAAAGTCAATAATCTTTAGAACAATTCTGATTGTACAGAATTGACCTTACAGAAGAAAACCAGAAGTCTCACAAAGGATTAGCCCACTGCGAGACCCAATGTAATAAAAAAAGATATGAAAAATTCCTGCCCCGCCACGTTAAGACACCACTATAAGAGGTTTGTGAGCTAGGGGTTCTGATCTTGGTTCTAATCTTTAATCTGATTTCATCAGAAGTCGTCAAGACTGCCAACTTAACAATTTATGTCCACACGTTTGGGTTTTTAATTTCGCCTTATGACATGAACATAAATTGTTGAGTTAGCAGCATCTTGGCAGCCTCGTTTGCTTGTATCATCAACTTCCATTAATAAATGGGAGGACGTAACTTCTGTGAAACCGAATTAAAGTGAAATGGACTCAATTACAGGAATTGAAGTACGATGATCCAATTGACAATTGGGTCAAAGTACATCAACTGCAAATGGAAATCATCCAAAATCACACTTGCTATCTCCAGCTTTACTTCAACAGGCCCGCAAAAATACAGACAAGGATGTATAAATTTACAGGCAAGATAGCATTATACTGGTGAACAGCTTCAAATAATGTATAAATAGAATAGGAAACGATGCCATTTTGACGTACATAAGACCAAAGATGCATCTAAGACCACCAACTCAAAAACTAATGCGAAAACTTTAATCCCGTCAAAAGGGCAAAATTAACATTGTTATTAACTAGTGAGTTTCAGGCTGTGTCTATGCGAAAAACTAGAGAGAATCAAAAGCAGAAAAATAAAAAAAATAAGAAAAACTGAACCAACAGACACAAGTCATAGACGAAGATTCAGAGCATATATCCCATAAGTTAAAACACGACTCGTGGAACAGACAATCTTGGTTTCATCCTAGCTCTTGAAGCTTTGCATCTTCTGCCCATCACTGATGACTGAAATTCCAGAGTCCTAAAAATTTTACTTACTTCCCCTCTTCGAGTCAGATTTCCCTTTCCTTTGGTTTCCACGTCTTCTAGTAGAACTGCTACCAGAGATAACTGGAACTGGCTGGGAAGAATGAGCAGGCATATGATGCCCAGGAACCCAAGCAGGGAACCCAACAGCAGGGATTCTGCACAATTTGGCATTTCAACATTAATTTCCACTCATGCAACTACTCGAGAAATAAACCAAAAGAATGACAAGATTATTGATGCACACACAAATTTGTATGTTTGATACAACATGAAAAGAGTCTAATCAGAGCTACCATACAACAATAAGTTTTTTGACAACATTTGTTTACATACTCATTTTCAACCATACATTCTCACAATAAAATATTCTGTATATAAATCCAAAACTTTCCCTTACTTTTTAGCCTACATCCTCCTAAAAATCACTATTCAAAACATTATTTTTCCCAAATAATGACCATCAAACAGGCTAAAGCAAAGAGGATAGATGATCAATGACACTTCATGATGAATATCTAATTTTGAAAATAGCAAAGTATATAGGCTTCTCTAAATTGTCTAGCAGTATGTGGAAAAACAAGAGGGCGGAAGACTAGTTTACAAACATTCATAATGTAAAATAAAAATATACATTAATCCATCTTCACACGAATATAAAAGGTAAAAGCAGCTAACTAGTATTTTGTTAAAGAAAGTTCCAGGGCTCACATGGAGTTATAGTCTGTCTGTTCTTCATAGCAGATAATCAAATCAAACAGGCACAGAAATTAACTACTATTTTGAGTACAAAGAAGCTTAACCAATTAAATAGTGTCACAGGAGTTTGTTATCAACACTCGATCAGCTAGCTTGGGGGAACCACTTAAGTATTGAATTTTTTAATAAAAATTCCTGTAAGAATGACAGCTCCCTATCATCATCGCAAAGCAGAAAAACTCATTCAAAATTCTTACCCAAAAGGAGCACAGCAGACTCCTGCTTGGTCATGGAAGCATCAACAGCCTTGCTGTTGTGCAGGGAAAGGCGTAATGCTTGGTTTTCAGCAAGACAGCTATTGAGTAGCATGCCCAGTCTCTTGCATTCTGCCTCAAAGTACCTACTCTTCATCTCAAGATCCTTCACGTACATCTTCTTCCTCTCTCGTGATCTGAGCGCTGCATCCCTGTTCCTCATTTGCCTGAAAGTTCAAATTGAGCACTCAGAGAAAAACCCAAAAAATTCACCCCAACTCTAATACTCTTCATCAGTTGAAAGATGACTGCAGTAAGAAGCTTCTTTGTATAACAAAGGTCAAAAAATAAAAAGATCTCTGTAAGAACCAGAGACATTGACGTATGCGATGTGATCCTGTATCAAACTTTCGAGAAGCATTGCATTGTGGGCATATAAATTACAATAATTGATGTAAACTTTACTTAAATAAAGTTGTGTAATTGTATCTTATACGATCTAATGCACGTCACAACATTTCAGAAATTATAAGAACCCCCAAATACAAGGTAACCTTTTTGATGTCTCAATTCAATTTTATGCATGAATGTTTTTGATTCAGCTAATTCTAAGTAACTAAAAAATCAAAATCAAAATACGTAAATCAAAACAGTCAACAATAAAGATAACAACAGAAGCAATAATTACAGTAACAAAAAACTGAATGTTCATCTGAAGTACCGTTTGCGTTTTTTGGCAGTAGGATCGTCATCATCCACAACATGGTCATCGTCGTTCTGCTTCTCTAGAGCTTCCGCCTGGCTATCATGGGCATCCTTATCCTTATCCTCTTCCGAAGACAAAGGGCTAGAAGAATCCTTTTCGGGACCATCAATCAATTCATCAGACAGATCGGAAGCCGCAGGGGAATCTAGAAGTACGTCCGTAAGAAAGCCATCAGCAGAAACCTGTTCGTGATCGGGCAGGGCTACATTGGAGTCATCGTTCATGAGCAACTGCTCTATGTCCTCGATCGACAATGAACCCGAATCGGGTGAAGGGTTCAAGGGATTCGAAAATTCCCTCACGGGCTCATCTAAGAATTCAAAATTCAGAGCATCTGGTAGGTTGTCAATTATAAGGTTCCAATCGATTTGCTCATCTTCAACCACTCCGAAATCGTTCATTAGAGCCCTCGTAATACACAAACCCAAAATAAAGGGATGGGGGTATGGATTGAGTTTCGAGAATTGAACGTCCCACAATGCGGCTCTGCTATTTATTGGGGTTGAGAGTTGGGGTTTCCGGGTATGTGGAGGCAAGGGGAGAAACTGCTTGGTGGTTTCGACTTTCTTCGTGGTTAAGAGACGAAGGGAGAAGGATCTAAGCGGTCCACGTGTGAAATCTGGGTAGAATCTTGAAAAATATAAGTACAATTAGTCCCGAAAGCACCAGATCACTGCCTGGGTGGTGAACACATCATTCAACCAATCATAGCACGGGTTTTGCTAATTGGTAATGTTCTGGTACTGCGTCGTCTACGCTATATGGTGGATCAACCAGTAAAATAATGTGGAATTTGGTTTTTAGCCTTAAACAGAGGTGTATTTTGAGTAATGCTCAATTTTAAAAACTTTTGTAAGTCCTATTTCATCCTATTTTTATTTGTTTTTTCCAAATTTATTTTCAATCATACATTACATGAAATTTACATTTTTATCATTTTTCGACTAATTTCTTTTTATCAAAATTTACGAAAAAATTAGAGTGTGTTTGATTGATATGGAAAATATCACCTAGAAAAGAAAATATTTTCCATCTTTTGTGGAAAATAAAAATCACCTCTACCCAAAGAAAATGTTTTCCTTTAAAACATGGAAAATTAGGCATATTTTCAGAAGTTGGAAAATGTTTTCTTTGAAAAAAATAGCAATCAAATACTTCAAGTAGGAATTTGGGTGGAAAACTGATATTTTCCATGAAAAATAAATGTAATCAAACACATCCTTAATTTTTATCAAAACCAAATCGTTGATTTTTAATGTAAATACACTGTTGTACTCTTTTATAAAAATAGTAGGGCCTGTTTGAGCACCACTTTTTGGGGTAATTTTTTGGAGAATATGTGATTAAAAAATAAGAATAATTTTGAATTTGCGTGTAAAATTATTTTATAGGAATATGTATGGTTAAAAGTGTGTTTTGGAAAAACAAAAATAGAGCTTAAATATGGGGTCACTCAACAAGCCCCCATTTGATCACCATTTTTTCTTCCAAAATGTATTTTTCCATCTGCCACAATGGGACCAACTTCTGCTGACAGTCTGTAGCATCCACGATCAGTACTTGAACATTTCCCATTTTGCCCTCGTTGTTTTTCTGTGAGAAAACGGACTAGCCAGCAGCCTTTGACATTTTCAAAGGCTGTAAAATTTGAATTTGTACACTATTTTGAGGAAAAAAAAGGAGTACCAACAGAGAATCATTCAATCATATACACCCACAGTGGTGAAGCAGAAAAAAGCCTTACATTTTTGGAAAAAAAGGAATAATGACAGAGAAGAAAAAGACATTCTATTTCCACACATGAAAGGCCGACGTCACATTACAAATATTTTCCCCCGTCTTCTTCCGATCCCGCTACACGTGACCTCAAAAAAAAAAATTACAAATGCTCGACAAACGCAACTGTCGTGATTACAAATCGAGGCACACCACTTCATACTTTCTGTACGTACATTTCGCAAAACTCAACAACGTCATTGTTGCTGTGCTATATAATCGCTCAGTATATTCCTCTCACTTCACAGCATTTCAGGTACATTCATCTCACTATACATATCGTCCTCCACGATTAGCAGCTCCACCTTGGTGGCATCATCATCCTCTACATCCACTCGGAGGAAGGTCTAGTTCAAAAAATCCAGAACAACGTAGGAAGTTGTGAACACCTATTGTCGCTGCGACCACAACTGCCTGTGTCAGAAAACGGGTAGTTTAGCATACGTTCAAGGATTTTTCATCTTTGTTTCCACACACCGAAAGCACGTTTGATGACATTTCTATAAGATGAATGTCTAAAATTAAATCTCTCACGAGCACGTCAGAACCTCCTGCGCTTACCTATTTGCTCGTCGCGAAACTGTTGGAAATGGTACAATATATTATATCCTTTGCAAAGTGCATGTACCTCGGACGAAGTGCAAATCTCGAGTCCACCTAATAGTACTTACTTGGTGCCAGCACAACAGCGGGAAATGTATCTTCGGATTATGTATAGCATGAGCTAGTAATCGTGCATCATGTGAATTGCCCGATGTGCAAGCGAGTATAAACGTAAAGCATAAATTGAAGTCGCAAGCTGCTAACACATTCTGCGTGGGGAACCATTTTCGTCCTATGAAGCTAACATGGTCGTGGCATGGTAACACAGCGACCATAGCCCAACTAAAGCCCTTCCCATGAGCCAATATGCATAGGAACATACCGACCTACTTATAGATATCTATCTGCTTGCTAGTTGATAAATCGTACTCATCTAGCAACAAATGTGCGAAATGTCACAACATGGGCGAGTATATGCGAAATTCTTGATAATATATATGTTTACAATGCCTCCATCATGAACATGGGACTGTTTCTTACAAATGAAAATCTTCGAATACGACGACACTATGCTTGATAGTAGCTCCTTGCATCGATGTCCGCTACTTTAAAATACTCTGCCGACATTGTGACATTCGTGGCTAGGGCGTTACAGAACTCCTCTTCACCAAGTTCCCCCTCCTCGTCGGAGCATGGGAAAAGCACACAATTGAAGTCGAGATCATCTATTGCATGATTCAAGTTGAAGGGAAGAAAGAGTTTTCATTGGAGCAAATGAACATTACAAGAAGTGGAAAACTAATCATGGAATTGTTACAACCACATATATAGTTGTTCTGTGATGAGGCACACCAACTTGTAGAGGTGTGAGAGCTAGGTACCATTCTTGTACTGAGTGAACTTTCACACAAAGGCTGCAAGAAATTCTCATCCTTTAAACAAGCATGATTTCAGATTTGACCTATGTGTCAGTTACTAAATATTCTACAACTATGACAAGAGAACTGCACAATCGTTTAACAAATGCCCTGCAGTGCATTTTTTAGTCATTGAATGAAAGGTAATACGGTAAAAGAAAATGCAAAAAAAATAATAACATAACAAACCACCCTCGAAGGCAGTACGCAAATGACAGAATGCATCCGATACTACACCAAGTGTTCAATACATTAAAAAGTTAATTACACACTGTTGGGAAGAAAAGGAAAAACTAATGCAATGATCTATTACGCTCATTAAACTGTCACTCCATCTATTCAAATTTTTTGTTGACATTCTTCATGACACCGAGCTGTCCCGATATCGCTTTTGCACCAGTAGCTTACAAGAGTAGAAATACAGTGGCGTCCGACGCTCAAGTCAACCAGTGGATAGTAACTCTTCGACACACGCAACCCTAACGTTGTCGTCCGAGGCAATGATAGTGTTTATCTTTGCCACAACTTCTTTAGCAGCACTGTTGGCACGACACGATCAATGGAGGAGAACTCATAAGCAAGAACATTCTTCTTCTCCCCTTTTGCTTCTATGTGGACGACTTCCTTTTTTCACCGTTTCGGCGTTGGAAACATTGCTGCCGGACTTGCCCCTACCTTTGTCGCCTCGTCACTCGAGCTGCAACTTTCCCTGTCAACTGGTATAGCGTCCTGATGGTCGTCTAGTGTAAAATTTTCAAACATATCTAACCCTGTTCTACAAAGCTTCATTGTGGTGACTGTGTAATTTTCAGTGTCATAACTATCGTTGAAAAGTGGACGGTACTTAACGTAAATCTCACTAACATCTTAGTTCTTGAAGTCTTTGTAGTCATTGTTCTCTTGACAAAAAATGGACCAGCAATTACAAGCCTGGCATGTTTAGCGGAAACAACTTCAAATACAAGATTGTGACGCACACATAGAAAACACAAGCAACTCACTGGAATGCAAAGAGCTGAATGCACTGTGCTATGCAAAAAAAGGAGAACTTTTCCCATGAGCATCTGTGCTGGGTGCAGAGGAATTGTATGAACGTGATGTAACAATCAATTTCCATTCAATTAGTGGATTAAACAAGCAGGGAACTAATCTACAGCAAAGTGGAGATGGATGGTAGGATAACACGGCACCCATTTGAATTTTTTTAGGATGCCATAACATATGAATGCATATAAATTGCCAAGTCACAGATATGTTGAGGCTTGCAACGTGAAATCCACCAACTGAAGCTATCGACGCCCTACACTAGGCATGCCTCACAACTATTAAAAATGGTTTATGTTGTTATCGGGTGCATGAAATGCGAATAGGCAAAAGCGAACTTAATTGGAACTAATGGAATCTCAGTTTGGGAAATCACAGCTACGGGATAAGGATTTCGTGACCTTTACTTTTATCGACCACTTTCGACAGCAACAATTTGACCAATAGATGGATTATACTCGACCCCACTGCATGCCAGCAGCTCGGACAGTCGTTTGTGCTCTCGACGAATTGAATCCCAATGATTGTGCAGTTGTTGTTTGGTCCAACTATATCTTGATATGGAGTTGAAGAGTACAACCACACGGTCCTAGCCATGCTTTGTGAAACACCAACCGTGTCTATGCCCTTCAGCGATGGCGGTCTCAGGTCACTATGAACGTTCTCTGTTCTGCTAGGTTCTACCAAGAGTATTTTTCGATGCATAGTCGTTGACGATGCCCCTAGCTCTGGTCGAGGTTGCTTGCGAGACGTCACTAAACTCAAAGAAGAAGGTAAAGAAAGTATGACCTCAGAAATCGAAAAGGTAACGTGGGCAATGTGTGAAGTGTTGCTATACAAATACCTGATTCATTGGTAGATCCATGTTGGCTGAAGGCTAGCAACGACGGGTGGATACAGTGACTAGGCTGGAAGTTTGACATTCGTAAGTCAGACAATGCAGGAGGGCCTTCGGTAATGATTTTCCAATGGTCACCACACAGTTTGTAGACGTCGATCAGAACATACAAATAGCGGTTTGACGCACTGTTGAAACCAAAATATGGGACAAACACTATGAAAAGTAGGTGTCTCGCTAGCTTCATAAAAGGAAACAACGCCGAAAATTACTCGTATCATTCATCGACTAGCCGTCATGTCCTGTGTTTTCTTCGTTTGGTGCTGTTAACAGTTTGATTTTCATCATGATAAAGGGCAGTTGATGGGAAGTGGAAAGAATATTAAGGACGGTGGACCCACATGCTCAATAAGTTTTGGAGTTAACAGTCCAAAAATGAATTATAGAACTAGCGAAAATGTGTAACAAACAGGGGCCAAAAATCTTAAGAGCATTTTAGAGCTTCAAAATGTGTCGCCCGATCCA